AATGTCTGCGTTACACTCGTTGCAGAAGGCCTCGCGGTTTGAATTCTTCAATTGGAATTTTCGATTTAAATGATAGTTGCAATGTTTGATGATTTAAATCATGGTTATATTTACAATAATAATTATAGGTTTCGTACTGAATGAAAATTAAATATGGCGGGTAATGGTTTTGTTGAATTATCTATTTACATCATATATACTTGCAAGAACAATATAAACGCAAAATTAAAATATCTCGTGAATTAATTATTTTTCGACATATGGTTAGTACTTCTTTCATGAAGAATGTCGAGCTAATGAATCAAAACATGTAAGATTATATTTATAATACATTACATTGTCATATATGACACATTGTCAGAGATATTATTACAAATAACATGAGTTAAAAAAAAAAATCATTACTGCCATATTGTGAGCAATTCACAAAGTTAACAGAGCTTTCCATATTTCCAAAAGTAATGGAAATATTCAGAGCGAAGTATAAAAAATAAAATTATTAATCTTGGCTGTTGCTGATTAATAATTTTCACACGTGGATCGATCTTCTCGAGCTTCGTTTATAATTTTATAAGCGAAATCGTTGCAATGTCGATCAGCGGCAGCGTACAGTATATAAATAAGTGATATTGGACGAGGACAGAAATAAATGACACTGTCATCCATCTTGAAAGAAAACTACAATTTTCGTCGAAATTGTTCAACACTGCTGCTCTTCTTATTTATCATACCTGGTTCAATCATCTTACTCTGCTTTCAAATCATTCAGATGGAATCCAATTGAGAGAGGACAATTTTCTACTCTCTTAATCTAACTAAATAAATAATTTATAAATGCTGCGATTACATAAAAGATTGCAAAATCTAAGTGGATGAAAAATATACTAAATATCAAACTGAATTCTTGGAACTCACTCTCGCAGGCTCAATGTCGAGGCCAAAAATTCGTTTCATGTAAATTGACTAAAAGAAAAAATACTTTTGAAAGAAATAAATTGTTCGAAATAACGTCGACAAAATTGACGCTCGTCAATGCATAAATCCTTGTATGAATTTTGAATGTATTAATCGTATTTTTTCATCAATGGATTCATTACTTCTTAAATGATATATTATCAAAATATAGCATTTGCAATCTGTCTTAATATTTGCTCTTAATGAACGAATTATTTTACTTTAAGAAATGTAAATTGACTGTTAAATATTGCATCAATACAATATTGTTAACGAATCGATATAAACTATTCTATTGCATGATAAGTTCATTCGGATCGTCAATAATGAAATTAATGTTGATTGATCATTTTTTAACTTTGGAAGTATCATCTTTTTATCACAGAGCTGGTGATTATGAAAATAAGCTAAGTCACTTTAGTTTCGACATATTTTTGCATTTACACGTATAAAATATATATGTCAAATATTTGTTCTTACAATGTAGAGTCTTTTTAACATCAAGTGACTTTGAGATGTTTCTCAAACTCGGATTTAGACCGTTTTCAAAATTAATTGAATAATTACAAACTGATTTATAATAATGAAAAATAATGAACTTTGTAAGAAAAGGACTAAAGGTAAACATGATCATTTTATAATTATAATTTTGATTAATTCGATCTTTATTTTTTTTAAATAGAATTTTCAGTGCTGAAGATTTTGAAATATTCGTGATAAATTGAAATTCATCTTGTTTTTATATTTTTTTTTTCTTTATTGTTGGCCTAATAGAGTATAAACTATTCTACTTTAAAAGCATTTTCTGACTAAATTAAGGAACAAGCAAGGATTTATAAATATTTAAACATTCTTAAAAAATTACATAAAGTTGTAAAATCTGGATGGAAAAAGAAATATATCAAGCAAATATTTGAAATTCTGTTAAATCAATAATGTAAATTGACTAAAAAGAATGTTGCGCTAATATAAATCTCAATGAACAAATAGAAACTATTCTATTTTCTATTAGAGAGAAAAAAATAAGAAAAAGGAAATTGTAAAATCTGGATGGAAAAAAAATATATATCAAGCAAATATTTGAAATTCTGTTAAATCAATAATGTAAATTAACTAAAAAGAATGTTGCGCTAATATAAATCTCAATGGACGAATGTAAACTATTTTACTTTCTATTAGAGAGAAAAAAAAAAAGGAAAAAGGAAGATTCTCTTCTGAAAGAAAAAAAGAAGAAAAAGGAAGTTGTAAAATCTGGATGGAAAAAAAAATATATCAAGCAAAAATTCTGTTAAATCAATAATGTAAATTAACTAAAAAGAATATTGCGCTAATATAGATCTCAATGGACGAATAGAAACTATTCTATTTCCTATTAGAGAAGAAAAAAGAAGGAAAAGGAAGGTTTTCTTACTATAAACACGATACTCACAGCCATAGTCATCGGTGCAAGCACCACCCAGCATATGTACCAAAATTTGTTCAGCTGTATGTCCATCATCTGACGAATACAATCGCAGAACTTTCTCGCTCCAAAAATCCACGATATCGCGATCGTTTGGAAGAAACAAACCCACAGAATGGACATCCCACTCGCTGAATAGAAATCCATTAATTGAAATATATAAATTCCACCCTGAAATGAATTTTTTTTTTTTTAGTTTGTATTTTCAAAGAGATATTTAAAAGAAGAGAGTGAGAAAGTCGATGCTAACATTGGTCACCATCGTCAGACCCAGGGAGAACATGAGACAGCAGATTGCAATGGTAAACTTGTTTCTATGGGCACGGAGATTGGGCCAATTATCAATAATGCCAGTGATAAAGGATTCCACGATACAGAACTCACTATCGATTCCTAATATCTGTCAAAGAGAAAGGGAAGTGTATTGCTTTGGGAATTCATTGGTGTTTACAAGATCATTAAAAAATTAATTTGTATACTTCTGACTGCGTTAATTAAACAATATTAATGGTGCATGGAATCATATAACTCGCAATATCCTGCAATCTGATTAAAAAGTACGAAACAAAAAGATGCATGAAGGATATTAATATTCATGTAGAAAGTTGGCATGCAAATGAATAGATGATAATATACAGTAGAAGTAAGAAAAAGGAATTTCATCTGAGAAAAGATAATTAGATAATCTAATTTTTGCTGAAGATTGATATAAATCTTCAACCCTTTGTGCTCCATAATTGCAAGAAACTTTATAATTCTCACTATTGAAAGATTTGAATTTTTTAACAATGCAGATGACTTTGATTTTCATACTCTGTAGGAACAATTTAATTCCAATTCACTTGTAATGAAATTCATAATAACAGTATCGAGACCGTGACAGTAATAAAAAGTAAAAAAAAAAAAAAACAAGAATGGATTAAGAATTGCGAGTTTCATTGAAAATGAAATTGAAGTTCAAAGATAACAAACACGTGTTGAATTCTAGATTTAAAACTTGCACAGTGAAAGTTTCATGAACATGAAGGCGAGCCTTCCGGTTTGGAGATAATCTAAATAATCATCAGCTCTTCTCAAAGCTATATAATAAAATTTTAGACATAATTATTTATTCGATGCAGTGATATTTCTGAATGTTCATAAAAGGTTTTACAAAAATATTCTGGAGTTATCGATAGGCCGTATAACAAAATGAATTGAAATGCAAAGGATTAATTGTTATGAGAAAAGAAACTTACACCATTTTCGAATAAAAGAGAATGATGAAATATCTCGTTCTCGAACTTTAGATTCACACGGCGTGTAGAATTGATTGATCAGAGAGAGAGAGAAAAAAAAAGAATGGAATTCAGCGTTCCTTACGAGCAGCATGATGAAGAAGATGATGGACCACATTGGTGCACCAGGCAACTTCAGAACCACCTCTGGATAAGTGAGAAACACTAATCCTGGCCCGCTTTTCACCACTTCCGATACTTGTGTGCCTTGCTCCAGAGCGATGTGACCCAAGATACAGAAAGTGACGCAGCCAGCCAGTAAGCAGGTTAACGTGTTCACTATGCAAGTGATTAGCGTGTCTCTAAAAGAAAATCTCGTATCTTCAAACACATTCAGCGGTCTAAAGTTTTTAGTATCTTTTGCGATTGAACATGTCTTGGAATTTGTCTGGATTTTCGTTGCAACGTTTTACACTGAGTAATGCGTACAGTGAAATATTATATATATGTGTGTATATAACTGAACTAGCAGATAAATTCTGCTAGTGATATAACTGCAGTGTGAAAATTATGGAAATGAATTTACTCGAGTTATAAACGAAGCAAGAGGGTTAAAGAGA